TTCTGTTGCTTCTTAATCTAGTTATCCATTCTTACTAAGGCAAATCTGTTTTAAACCTGGAACTGATCCATTCTCTTTGTAATCTGCTGTTCTTTATGTTTGTCTTCTTGCATTAAATCAGTGCTGTTTTAAATTAAGTTGTCTTCAAGCTGCTTTAAAGTTTTAAACTCTCTATTCAGGCTTTAAAATTTTGTTTTTAAACTCAGTTTTGCACCCTTTACAGGATTTTCCCACTTTCTGCAGCTTAGATGGAGTTTTCCCACTTCTTGTGATGTATGATTTCCTACTCCTAGTAGCCTTAGCTATAACACACTTTCTTCTGCCCAAATTTTTAAATCAACTTCTTGACTTCTCACAGTTTAATTTCTAAGTCCTGGTCTTTTTAAATCTTATGTTTCTTTTTCTGCTAGATTCTTTTCCAAAGCCTACTCACAATTGCAGCAATGTTCTTTATTTAAAACTTCCTTGACACCCTTATCTGGTCTTTACATTATTTCCATAAATATTGCTTTTCCATTTTCCCTGAGGTATATCGAACTTTACTCCTGTATTATCTACACAGTCCTTACAGAACCTCCTTTGCTAAGACCTCTGTCTTTTTCTCAATGTAGTTGGTTTCTTCTCTTTCTCTAGACTACATTTTCCATCTGCACCTTCTTAGTCACTTCTTTCAAAGAAAAACACTTGGTATTAGGGCTATTCTGGAAAGCAACAAACTTATAGCATAGTTTATTGTGAACTGTCATTCTGATATATTGGAACATGTGATCAAGTCACTAATTATGTATGGTTATCTCAGGAATTTTGGCAGACACAGCTTGCTCAGGAAATACAATATTGGGAAGCTCTTTCAGTTACTCTCATCCAGAAGAACAATTAGGTTTCACACCAAATTCACCATAAAGGTGCTTCAGATATTGGGAGACAGGAATGAGACAGCTTGTTCTTAAGCTGGCTTTCCTCCATCTGATTCGAGATTTTGAAAAAAACACTATCCAAGTCAGTCACTGTTAAAACACCTCAGCAGGAGTCTACAGCAAAACCTCAATTATCACCAGTACTGAGATTTTTAGGTAACCATTTTATAAAAGAAATCAGTGACCCCAGTGCCCTTTCAATTGCATCTTTTAAAGAAACCACCTCTGCTAGCTATATAAAACTTGAAATGAATCCATCTGTAAAGCTTCAAAACATAAGCGCTCCAAAATATAAAACTTCTTTTAACTTTATAGCTTACATTAATTTGCTTGGCATAATTAGAAAGAATACCCAAGTCCTATGCGGAACTTTGTGCTCCTCTCAGGAACTTGACCCAAAGTCTGTCATGAGGATAGGTTGTATAAACTTGATTTGTATACCCTTTAACTGTGATGTAATTACGATTCTTAAGATGAATGATTCAAGTAGGTAGTGTAGAGATTCTATTTCTGCTGACAAGAGAATCCAGAAAAAAGGCAAATAAGATTAATATTTGGGTTTTTGAGCGTGAAATTAAAAAAATACATTTTGTGAAAAAAAGTAGCATATATGTAGACTCTCTTCACTGTCTCTGCACCACACATCCATCCGCACCTATAACAGTACGCAGCATAGATACAAAGCCTTCCGAAAGGTGGAGGAGCTGAAGTCAACTGAAATTTTCAGTACCAAGACTGGTAGAGTTTTGTCAGAGTATTAAGGGATTTGGAGCAAAGACATTAATATAGACTCATAGAGTCATAAAACATGGAAACACACCCTTCAGTCCAACTAGTCCATGCTGAACATATCCCAAACTAAACTAGTCCCAACTGCCTGTTCCTGGCCCATATCCCTCCAAACCTTTCCTATTCATATATCCAACCAAATGTCTTTTAAACATTATGATTGTATCTACATCCACCACTTTCTCAGGAAGTTAATTCCACATGCAAACCACTCTGTATAAAAAAATTGCCTTTTATGTCTTTTTTAAATCTCTTTACTCTCACCTTAAAAATGAACCCCCTAGTCTTGAAATTCCCCATCTTAGGGAAAAGACAATTACCATCAACTCTATCTATACCTCTCATTATTTTATAAACTTCCATCAGGTCACCTCTCAACTTCCTACGCTCCGGTGAAACAAGTCCCAGCATATCTCCATGGGATGGTTCAGTGGTTAGCACTGCTGCCTCACAGTGCCAGGGACCCGGGTTCGATTCCACCCTTAGGCGACTGTCTGTGTGGAGTTTGCACAATCTCCCCGTGTCTGCATGTGTTTCCTCCCACAGTCCAAAGATGTGCAGGCTAGGGGGATTGGCCATGATAAATCACCCATAGTGTTCAGGGATGTGGAGATTAGGTGGGTTATAGAGGGGTGGGTCTGGGTGGGATGCTCAGAGGGCCAGTTTGGACTTGTCAGGCCAAAGGGCCTGTTTCCACACTGTAGGGATTCTATGATCTATCCAGCCTTTCCCTATAACTCAAACCATCCATACCGAGCAACATCCTGGTAAATCTCTTCTGAACCCTCTCCAGCTTGATAATATCCTTCCTATATCTGAGGAACCAGAATTGGACACAGTATTCCAGAAGAGGCCTCACTAATGTCCTAGAACATAGCACAGTACAGGCCCTTCGGCCCATGATGTTGTGTCGAACTTTTACCCTAATCCTAAAGTCTATCTAACCTCCACCCCTAACTTATACTATCATCCATATGCCTATCTAATAGCCGCTTAAATGCCCCTAATGAGGCCGACTCCACTACCCTCTCCGGCAATGCATTCCACGCCCTGACCACTCTCTGAGTAAAGAACCTACCTCTGATGTCTCCCCTATATCTACTTCCACTCACTTTAAAACTATGCCCCCTCGTAATAGCTACCTCCACCCTAGGAAAAAGTCTCTGGCTGTCCACTCTATCTATACCTCTGATCATTTTGTACACCTCTATCAAGTCACCTCTCATCCTTCCTCGTTCTAAAGAGAAAAGCCCTGGCTCGCTCAACCTTTCCTCCATTCCAGGCAACATCCTGATAAATCTCCTCTGCACCTTTTCCAACGCTTCCACATCTTTCCTGTAATGAGGCAACCAGAACCTGACACAATACTCCAGATGTGGCCGAACCAGGCTTTTGTATAGCTGCAGCATAACTTCACGGCTCTTGAACTCAATCCCTCTATTAATAAAAGCTAACACACCATACGCCTTCTTAACAACTCTATCCACCTGGGTGGCAGCTTTCAGGGAACTGTGAACATGAACCCCGAGATCCCTCTGCTCCTCCACACTGCCAAGAATCTTTCCGTTAATCCTGTATTCTGCTTTCAAGTTTGTCCTTCCAAAATGAATCACCTCACACTTTTCAGGGTTAAACTCCATCAGCCACTTCTCAGCCCAGCTCTGCATTCTATCAATGTCCCTTTGTAACCTAGAACAGCCCTCCGCACTATCCACAACTTGACCCACCTTCGATCCTGTCCTGTACAACCTCAACATGACATCCCAACTCCTGTACTCAAAGCAATGAAAGCAAGCGTGCTAAGCAGTTTTTTAACCACCGTGTCTATATGTGACACAAGCTTCAAAGAATTATGTACTTGCACCCCTAGGTCCCTCTGTTCTACAGCACTACCCAAAGCCCTACTGTCAATTGTATAAGCCCTGCACTTGTTTGTTGTGCCAAAATGCAATACCTTGCACTTATCCAGATTGAACTCCATCTGCCATTTTTCAGCCCATTGGCACATTTGATCAAGATCCCTTTGTAATCTTAGATTACATTGTCTACAATGCCACCAATTTTGGTGTCATTCGCAAACTTACTAACAATTCCTTCTATATTCTCATCTAAATCATTTATATAAATAAGAAACAAAAAAGAACCCAGAACCAATCCCTGTGGAACTCCACCACACCCGGCACTTTTCCCTGCAACCGCAGGAAGTGCAACACCTGCCCCTACACCTCCCCCCTCACCCCCATTCCAGGCCCCAAGAAAACCTTCCATATCAAGCAGATGTTCTTCTGCACATGTGCTAATGTGGTATACTGTATCCGCTGTTCCCGTTGTGGCCTCCTCTACATCGGGGAAACCAAGCGGAGGCTTGGGGACCGCTTTGCAGAACACCTACGCTCCGTTTGCAACAAACAACTGCACCTCCCAGTCACAAACCATTTCAACTCCCCCTCCAACTCCTTAGATGACATGTCCATCCTGGGCCTTCTGCAGTGCCACAACGATGCCACCTGAAGGTTGCAGGAACAGCACCTCATATTTCACTTGGGAATTCTGCAGCCCAATGGTATCAATGCGGACTTCACAAGCTTCAAAATCTCCCCTCCCCCAACTGCATCCCAAAACCAGCCCAGGTTGTCCCCGCCTCCCTAACCTGTCCTTCCTCCCACCTATCCCCTCCTCCCACCTCAAGCCCCACCCCCATCTCCGACCAACGAGCCTCATCCCGCCCCCTTGACCTGTCCGTCCTCCCTGGACTGACCTATCCCCTCCTTGACTCCCCACCTACACTCACCTTTACTGGCTCCACCCCCGCCTCTTTGACCTGTCTGTCTCCTCTCCACCTACCTACTCCTTTATCCATCTTCTATCCGCCTCCCCCTCTCTCCCTATTTATTTCAGAATCCCCTTCCCCTCCCCCATTTCTGAAGAAGGGTCTAGGCCTGAAACGTCAACTTTCCTGCTCCTCTGATGTTTCTTGGCCTGCTGTGTTCATCCAGCTCTACACCTTGTTATCCCTGTGGAACTCCGCTGGTCACAGACCTCCAGTCGAAAAAGCAACCCTCCACCATTACTCTCTGTCTCCTGCTTTTATAGATAAGCTATGATCAAAATGAAAAGCAGCAACTCCATGGGCTAAAACATGCTTCTTTGTTCTATCAAAAGAATTGGGTCTAAAATAACTCCACATAATAATAAGCTATTTTCTTTTGGGTTCTAGTATTGTTTGACATCTTATACTAAGATTAGTTCAATCACCTCTATTTATAAAATTCTCATGAATATGTTCCCTTTTAGAATATGAACAAGCAGAGAGGAGATGGAAGGAGATGACAGAAAATGATATCTTAGAAAACCTTGAAAGAGAAAAAAGAGAAAAAAAGAAGGAAAGAGCTGCTCAAGTTTTGAGAGAGGCCTCAGAAAGGAAAGAGACAGGAGAAGAGCAGGACACCAATGGAAGAGAGCAGCTAGAAACAATGGAGGAAAACAAAGACGCAAATGAATTACAACCGGACGATATCAAGAACAAAGGTGAAACATTTATAGTAAATGACAATGCTGATAAAACTCCTTCTAGACTCAGAAGGCGCTATAGGTTCACAGAACAAATTGAAAATCTCCACCAAGGGCTTCCTGTTTGCAAAATATCTTATGCTACCCATATCAGCAACAAAAAAAGACAAGACAGGCAAGAAAGTAAGGAGTTTCCGGACTTAAACTCTTCCTTCAGTGGTTATGAGCCATCTTTTGCGAAGTTGTGCAATCGATCAAATGAACTGAGGCACCAAGTTGGGAAAGACCCAAATGAAAAATCTGAAAATTGTCTTCGGTCAACATCAAGAAATGATACAAAAAATAGCCTCATTGAAAAGTTATTTAGATCAAGCAGTACTTTAGAAAATAAACCCTCCAAAGACGATGAAGCTAAAGCCACAGACAAACTAAAACAGCTACAAAGAAATAAACAGACAAGTCGAATTCAGGTTACTAACAAGAATAGGTTAAATGTTCTGGATCCTGACTTGCTGCCTGTGAGAGTTTTAGAACCATCCACAGATGAAAGTGAAAAATTGGTTTTACAATCTTTACATAAATAAAAATAAGAATATAGACATTTGTTAAGTTTTATTAAGGTTGTTGTAGCACACTTCTCTCCAGAAATTGAGATAAATGGAAACAATTGCCATTCTGAAGATTTTTCTGATGAGAATGCATAAGGGAAAGATGTTGTCCCTAATGTCGAAAGTAATAAATAATTGTTAGAACATTTTACAACTTGTTTGCACACATTTAACATTTTCCCATATGAATAGTCAACTCAGAAATTCATTTGTAATAGCATTACATCAGCAATGCAGGTATGCTTTAAGATGGGTACCTAGTGTAACTGGCAAGCCCGAGTTATATTATTAGTTCTGCATTTTTCATTGCCCATACTAATCCAGTTAAAGATGATTCAGGATCAACAAAGAATCTTATATAGAGGTCAGTTTGCTGCCAATATTCAACAGTTTAACAGTGAAATTTAAATGGTTATCGTGTGCCACTCGTAAAAGTTTGTTCTGCAAACAGAAGCCAAACAGTACCTGATTAAATATGTTGTATCATTTCAAGAGGTGCTACTTGCCTAACTGCCTTCAATTTGTATCAATGAGAAACCGTGATCCTCTGCACTGACATAAGATGTGCAGTATATTTCATTTAGTAATGAGTTCTGTTGGAGACTGCATTGGGTTCCACCCAATTTGATGATGTTACACATTCCAGGGTGGAGATCTGGTGAGTCCAACTCCAGATCCCAATGGTGTCAGACTACTCATCTCTGGCTTCTGATAGTCTTTGTCATAATGTCTAACTAGCCAACATGTATCTATTGCTATCATGCAATAAACTACATCTTATTAATTAATTCATGTTCTGTTAGTTGTTAATTTGTATTCTGTTGCAGTGCCTCATCAGGGGCTGTTTAAAAAGAAATAGAGAGCTTTACTTTCAGTTTAAAGGAGCAATGGGAGCTTTACTCTAACTTCATGTTGTCCCTGACATGGAGGTGCTGTTGTTGGACTGGGGTGGATAAAGTCATAAGTCCCACAACATCAAATTATAGTCCAACAGGCTTATTGGAAATCACAAGCTTTTGGAGCACTGCTCCTTCGCCAGGTGAAATCTTCCAATGCATTTATGTCTTTTCTTCAATGAGATGATCAATACTCTATGCAGTATCCAGAGGCAGTCTCATCAGTTCCCTGTACAACTGAAGCATGACCTCCCTAATGTGTTTTTCAGTTTCCCTTGAAGTGAATAACATTTGCTGAGCTTTTCTTACGACTTTCTATACCTGCATACTAGCCTTTTGCAATTCACGCATTAGGACACACTCTTGTATACCCTTCCCTGCAAATCTCCCATCATTAAGATAGTATGCTTATTTTTATTCTCTCTCCCAAAATGAATAATGACATATTGTCCCACATTACATTCAATTTGTCAGACTTTTTCCAGTTACATTTGGTATCTAACAATCAAATGGGATCTTCCCTGAATCTAGAATTTTTCTTTATTCAATTGTGGAAAGAGAAAAGATGGCTAACCAGTATCTATTGCCATCCCTAGTTGCCCTTGAGAAGGTGGTGGTGAAATGCCTTCTTGAACCACTGCAGTCCAGATGCTGTAGGTTGACCCACGATACCCTTGAGGGAATTCCAGGATTTTGACCGAGTGATAGTGAAGGAACGATAATATATTTCAAAGTCAGGATGCTGAGTGGCTTGGATAAGAGCTTGCATGTGTGGTGTTCCCATGTATCTTCTATCTTTATCCTTCCAGATGGAAGTAGTTGTGGGTTTGAAAAGTGCTGTCTAAGGATCTTCAGTGAATTTGTGTACTAGCTACAAGATGCACTGCATACTGCTACAACTGAGTAGCCAGTGGAAGGAGTCACTGCTAATCAAGCAAGTTGCATTGTCCTGGTGTCAAGCTTCTATATTGGAGCTGCACCCATCCAGACAAGTGTGGAATATTCCATTAAACTCCTGACTTGTACCTTTGTAGATAGTGGACAGGCTTTGGGGAAATCGGGTGGTGAATAACTTGCTGCAGTATTCCCAGACTCTTACCTGATCTTGTAGTCACTGCATTTATATGGAGAGCCCAGTGGAGTTTCTGGTCAACAATATCCCCAGGATGTTGATATTGGGCTGCAGTTATGATAATACCACTAAATATCAAAGGGCAATGGTTAAATTGTCTCTTATTGGAGATTGTCATTGCCTGGCATTTGTAGGGCACGAATGTCGCTTACCACATGTCAGCCCAAGCCTGCATATTGTCCAGATCTTGTTGCTTTTGAACATGGACTGCTTCAATATTCGAGGAGTCACACATGGTGCTGAACATTGCACAATCATTGACGAACATCCCCACTTCTGATCTTATGATGGAGGGAAGGTCATCGATGCAGCCACTGAAGATAATTGACCCTAGGACAGTCCCCTGAAGAACTCCTGCAGAGATGTCCTGGAGCCAAAATGACAGACTAACCAACAACCACAACCATCTTCCATGACTCCAATCAGCAGAGAGTTTGCCACTCCCCTATTACCCATCCATTCTAGTTTTGTAAGTGTTCTTGATGCCATACTCAGTCAAATACAGCTTTGATGTCAAGGGCTGTCACTCTCACTTCACCTTGGAATTCAGCTTTTTTGTCCAAGTTTGAACCAAGGCTGTAATGAGGTCAGGAATGGAGTGACAGTGGTGGAACCCAAACCGGGCATTGCTGAGCAGATGCAGATTGTGCTGGAATACAATATTGCTGCTGTGTTGATAGCCCCTAATGTGTCAGGCATGCCCAATCTTAAGTTGTTAGATCTGTTCGAAATCTGTCCCACTTAGCCTGGCGATAGTCCACACACATGACAGAAGGTATCCTCAATGCAAAGCAGGGACGTTGTCTCCCAAAGTACTATGCAGTGGTCACTCTTACTGATACTATAATGGACAGACGCATTTGCAGCCAGCAGATTACTAAGGATGAAGTCAAGTATATTTTTCCCCTCTTGTTAGTTCCTTCACAACCTGCCGCAGACCCAAGCTAACAGCTACGTTCTTTATGACCCAACTGGCTCGATCAGGAGCATGACCGCAGAGCCACTGTGGGTGGTGGATATTGAAAAGTACTTTTTGGTGCCCTTGCCACCCCTCAGTGCTTCCTCCAAGTGTTGTTCAATGGAGGAATACTGATTTATTAGCTGAGGGAGAGTGGTACATAGTAATCAGTAGGTTCCTTGCCAACAGTTAACTTGCAGCTGTAAAACTTCATGGGGTCCAGAGTCGATGTTGAAGATTTGCCGGATACCTATATACTACTGTGCTGTTACCTCTGTTGGCTCTGTCCTGGTAGGGGGAACAGGACATAGCCAATAATCGTGATTGTGGTGCCCAGGACAAGGCAGGATTCTGTGAGCATGACTATGGTTAGGCTATTGCTGGACTAGTCTATGAATTAGCTCTCCCAATTTTAACTAGCTCCTGTGATAGTAAGGAGTTTGCAGGATTGACAAAGCCATTTTGCTGTTGTCTTTTTTGGTACCTCGGTCAACAGGAGTAGTCCATCCAGTGTCATTTCTTTCTTGAGACTTCATAGCCATTGACAAGAGTTCGAAAACTAGAATCAATGCATCAATTATCTCACAAGCCAATTCTTTCAAGGCCCTAGGCTGAAACCCATCAATAACCAGGCACTTGCAACTCCAAGTTTACTCCGTACCACTCCTCGTGATTGTCATTTTCCTGAGCTCCTCCCTCCCTTTCAAATCCTGATTTAAAACTGCTTCTGGGATGTTCTTTAGATCCTCCAGAATGAAGAGCAATGCAAATACCTGTTCAATTCATCCGCCATCTCTCTTTTCGATAATAAATTTTCCAGACTTCCTATAGGATCAACGCTCACTTTTTAAATGCTGAGTAGCTCTCACCATTCTTAGATTTCTGGCTAGCCCTCTTTCACACTTTAAACTGTTCCATCTATTAATTATTTAGTTATTCTTCTTTGATGTCCAACAGGACTTGGGGCTTTTCAGCCTACAGCTCCGATTTGCTCACTACCACTGCCCTAGCAATTGTAATGTCATCAAGTACCTCCTCCTTCAACCTCTTGCTTGACAGTTTTTACTGGAATATTTTTGTATTCTTTACAACGACAAGATCAACATATTTGTTCATTTCATCTACCATCTACTATTAACTCCCCATTCACACTTTACAGCAGACTAGCAGTTTACTTATGCTGAGATAACAAGGTGCAGAGCTGGATGAACACAGCAGGCCAAGCAGCATCAGAGGAGCAGGAAGGCTGACGTTTTGGGCCTAGACCCTTCTTCAGAAAAGAAGGGTCCTCTGATGCTGCTTGGCCTGCTGTGTTCATCCAGTCTGCACCTTGTTATCTCAGATTCTCCAGCATCAGCAGTTCCGGCTATCTCTGAAACAGTTTACTTATGCTCTTCCTTCTTAAATACTTGTGGAAACTCTTGCTATCCAGTTTTACATTTCTTGCTGGCTTCTTCTCATGCTCTAATTTCTTCCTCTGAATTAATCTTTTAGTCACTCTCTGTCTTTTACATCCTGCCCAATCATCTGATCTGTCATTTTTCTTTGTAGTCACATGCTTTTCCTTCAAGTTTGATAAATGAGAAACATTGCCAAGTATTGACGCAGGCTGACAGAAGTCAGAAAATGCATTTGTTTTAGTTACTTTGCTAGTTTATTGCATCATTTGCGTGCAACATGAAATTAGTCACATCATTCTAGACTGTAGAAACATAATACCATCACCTTAAGGGCAACTAATGACAGGCAGTGACACCCACATCTGAGTGGATGAAAACAAAATGAACTTTTAGTCACTTTTGTCGGTGCTATGTTGCTACATAATTTATGTCAACTTTTTCTGCTTATCTTCTCTAATGTGGAGGTGCTGGTGTTGGACTGGGGTGGACATAGTCAGAAGTTACATGACACCAGGTTATAGGCCAACAGGTTTGTTTGAAATCACAAGTTTTTGGAGCACCGGTCCTTCATCAAGTGAAGTGGAAGGAAGTGCACAGATACAGAATTTATAGGTGAAGAGATAGTTATCTTGACAATAATTATCCTGACTTCACCTGATGAAGCAGCAGCGCTCCAAAAGCTTGTGATTTCAAATAAAACTGTTGGACTATAACCTGGTGTCATGAGACTTCTGGCTAACCTTCTCAACATTGAAGTCTTAATGAGACAGGTGTTTCTGCATGGATGGACTGAGCAACAGCATAACACACAAGGACAGATTCTCTCACTCATTTCCATGCAAAGAAAAACTGGAGTTCTAAGTTTAAATCGTCATATGTGTCTTCCACTTTCAATTCTATTTGCAGGTCTTGTTTCATATGCTATTATCCTTGGCAATCCCCCAGGATTTGTTTTAAATTTTTGTCCATAGCTATGATTCCCAACAGAAGTTCCTTTACAGCGACAAACATGAGTAAAAACTGAGCTAGAATTTTGGGGAAAAAAAAGTCAGTGTTTCCATTTGTTAATGAATTTAATTCAAAACCAATGAACCAAGACATTGGGCTATGGTGGGCAGCCATAAAAATGTCAGGGAGCAGCAACATTGTAACTTAAATAGAAACATTAGTGCAGCCATACATTCTCTAATGGCAGTCTTCCCTCTTTCTTTTGTTATGAAAAGCTCCCTCAGTCTAGCGAATCAAAAGCTGTATTTTATGTATAGCAACTTTTCAAAGCTGCAGAGCTACTGGGTATTTAAACAAAATCATTGCAGCATACCTGCAAGGCTTTGTATCAATGTGTGAAGTTCTCATCTCAGACCTGGCAAATAGCTAAGTGCAGCAATAATTAATATATATTTAATAGCTTATATATTTCTTCACTCAAGGCAAGAACGGGGCAATTGGCAACTACTGCAAGACGAGAGCGTGGGCACACTGACAAATTCCAAATACGGTGCCACAAAAGTCAAAATTCTAAATTCAATGGGAACTTCTGTCAAAATGGTGGAAGAATTTTAATGCAGATTATAAATATTCTTTTACAACACCTTTGTATCATTAGAACACAACAGATAATCTCACTGGGAGGTGACAGCTAATACAAATTGAATGCACCACCTTGGTTATGGCTGATCAGGTGACCTTTGTTAATTTCTGGGACTGTTTTGCTGGTTTGGTTTAGCTGGCCTTAAGCATTGGAGGGCTCTGCTGCCATAATGTCATGATTTTATACACACTAATCTTACGACTAATTGGACAAAAATAGTCAACTGCCAGAGACAACATTATCTGGGCCAGTATCAAGTCATTTTTTTAAACTTTTCCTAGCCGATCGAATGACAAGGCGAATTAGTGATATTCCATAATTTTACAATATGGCATGGCAGCAATGAATTTACATCTTAGTTTACATCTCAGCATTTAATGTAGCAACTCTTTTACCTTAAACTAAAAATCATAATGAGGTAGGGTTGTGGTTGAGAAAATATCTACCAATTTCCTCTTGTTCATGGATACAAGAAACCCAGAACAGAAAAGATACACAATCATCTAGAGATAGCTTCCCACTTTGAAACTTTTAACCTGCTTTAAGGGCTATTTTCCCTCGAGCATCGGAGGCTGAGGGGTGACCTTATAGGGATTTATAAGGTCATGAGGGGCACA